ATATTATTAGTAATTACATGTAATTCTAAAGGTAAATATTTAAATTACTGCTAGTATCTGTTAATTTACAGTTACAACATTGTCTTATGGAAAATGGTGGTAAACCTGTAAAAACATAGAGAAAATTGTATGTAAAATTACAGTTAAATATGTACAAATACAATAAATTGTCATTAAAAACATAATATTAATGTAATCATAAATTATGGTTAATTAACTGTAATTTTAAAAATCTAAAATTACTGAAAATATCTGTAAATATACTTTCATTGTTTTATTGGAAAACAGGAAAAATCTGTAAAAAATTACAGAACATTTCCTGTAGAATTACATTTTTTTTCTAAAGGCAAAATGGCCAAAAAATATCTTTAACAAAAAAAAAAAGATTATAGATATTTGTTTACATCCCACACCACTGGCATTTTACTGTCTCATAGTTGCAGACACTTTTGCTACGGTTTCATCTCATATCATATGAAGTAGCCTACTTCATTCATGGTTCTGATGATGTTGCTCACAATTTGCAACCCTGCCTCTTTCACATGAACGTGCTTGAGGCTGGATAGGAAGTTGACTTAACTGGTTGATAACCAGCTTTGTAGTACCGGCTATCCAAACGGACAATGTTAGTGTTAGTCAAACCAGATAACGAGAAGATATCCAGGGTAAGTTGAACTGGCTTCATAATACAGGCCTCTGGTCCTGATTAAAAACCACTGTACCTAGACTGGTCAGGGGGTCTGGGGCCATATTCACATTCTGAGAACTCCCTCAAAAAGCTCCTAACTTACTCTCTAATTTTTTAGTGAGGAGTCCTAGCTCAGGAGTGATTTAGGAAAGTTCCCAGAGTAAATCTGAGTAAGAAAGGGACAGAAACTGTTGGAGGTGTGGTTGACTCTGTTGCTGTGATGCATTCTTTTAACATACATGATTGATTGTCACAGACACCCCTTTGTGAGCCTGCAAAGTGTGGTCACCCAGTGGAAATGAAATGCTAACTGTGACTTTTGTTATTGTTAGTGTGATCACTCGCTTCGGGAATAACTTTTATTTTTACAAGGACGTAACCTTAATTTTCAGTGGAAATTCTAGGAAAACGTCACAATTATGAGAACAGTTCTTTGTACTAGTAAACTGTCAAATCTGGACTAGATTTTCCCAGAGAGGGTAAAAATGATGTAAAACACAGTTTCAGATTTATAAAAACCTTCATTCTATTTGTGAAAATGAAAAAAGGGACATTTCATTGTGTTTTCACTGCAGTTTTGTTTGCTTATTTCATTGGTGCACAGCATACTCAAACTAAGCACCAGCAGCATAAAGACTCACTGAGCGTCTGTTCCAGCCATCTAATCACATTTTATTAGGGTAAACGTCCCTATTCAGCCCACCAAATCTGCCAGACATTTTTAATACCGCCCCAATTAGGGCTGGGCAGTATGACCTAAAATTTATATCACGGTATAAATCGAATCCCTTCACGGTAATGGTATATATCGCGGTATAAATTTAAGTGTAAAAGTTATAATAGAAGTGTTTCTGAATGGATTTTGTAGTCCCTTAGCAAAAGTAAAATTGATAAAAAAAAAAAAAAACAACAACAACAACAAAAGTAAAGATATAATGTATTTTTTAGAGCATTTATTGTGCAGAATGCAGATCTCAAAACTCAAAATTAAAACCCAGTACTCTATGGTGCAAAATGTCCCCTGGGATCTATATCAAAAGGTAATTTCCTTCTTTTAGCAAAATCCTAAATGACTGAGTTGTGTTTTTTCCACCTGGACCATCACGCTGTAACCTGTGACAGGCTGCTATGATACCACAACTATCACACATTCACATATGGAGTTTTTTGTGGAGCCCCTAGCGTCACATAGGTTTACATTACCAAAGGTTTATGACAAACTCTCTTGCCGAAAACCAACTCCCGTGTGCGCACGGCGAGAGAGGAGAGGGAGAGACGCTGTGCTGCTGCCAGAGGAGACACTGAATGAGTTCCCTCTGAGCGGTAAGTCGCTAAAAGAGTCTGAGAAGTCCGGGGCTGTTCATAAGACATTAACTCACTCACTCACAAGTTCTCCAGCAACACATGTTGCACGTGCTACGCTAAATCACGGATGTGAACCAGCTCCTCTTGCTCCGCTGTCTCTTTGCTCGCAGCCATTTTCACACTGAGGCAGGTGCGATGACGTCATCGACGATAGGACGGCAGAGCACAAATCTCTACCGTGGGCCAAATTTATATCATTTCTACCGTCTACCGCATATACCGTGCAGCCCTAGCCCCAATATAAGTGAGAACATTTTAGTTAAAATGATAGTCTAGTCTCTCATTTGAAGTGTCAATAATTTATTTATACTATTTTTTTTTTATTATTGTTTAATTTGTCAAAATATGTCCCCTTTAAGCCCATGGGTGTTCCAAAATAAGCCCACTTCATGATTTGTTGATAAATAAATATATATATTTAAAAATCTTAACAATCCAAACTTGTTCTATTAAAATCTGTAATCTCTTAGCTCTCAATAGCTATAATCATTTTCTCTCCACTTCTATCCTCTGGACTGTAAATGGCATTTGAAATAGGCATGATCAGCCTTTGCTGTGTTGTCAACACAAAAAAAAAGCTGAACTTACAACATGTCTTCTTTGGAATGTAGCCAAAAAAAACTATTCATGAAGAAAATCAAAATTATACTGGAAATTACTCTTCAATACTTCATCTTTCAGTATGTGTTGTCATTTTGTCTGTATCTCTATCATACATTGTACTGTTGGCATTTATAATTGGCCAAAATTTCTGGTCCAGCCAGCTGGTTGAAAGTGTAGATATTTAAATTATCAAGATTTCTGAAGACCTAATGGCTAAAAAGAAAGTCAGTTTACAAGTTCAATACTAATATTTTAAGGGTAATAAATGATGATAAAATGATACTTAATGATCTATGGAGCTGATTGATTAGGTGAGGTCAAAGTTAGGCAGGAAAATGGTTCAAAAGTCAAGGGAGAAAATCTCCATTGAAACACAGTCAAGTGGGCTTAATGGGAGCAGGTGGCTTAAAGGGAACATAAGTGAATTTCTGGTTAAAAGTCAGAATATTTTATTCTGTCATGCACTGAAGTAATTAGCTATACTCATTTACATCCACCCTAAATAGTGCGATTTATTTATTTATTTATTTTTTGCTAGTGTCCCCTTTAAGCCCACTTGGTAAAAATGTTAATTAAAAAATAAATAATAGATGTGGATATTTATCTTTATCTATTTAACAGCATAATAATATATTCTGCACACAAAAATGTAAACTATACATGCTTATCATGCTTTGTCATGCAGCGACTGTATTGATGCAGCATGTGGGCTGTTTGCTAGCATGCTAAAACGCATATTTTGACTTAAATAGAAAAAGTATTTCTAATTTGAGTAATATTCTAACATGTTTTATTCAGATTTTGGTAACAAATGAGTACTTGCCAAAAGCAGGAGTAGTAGTAGGAGTAGAAATATGAAAAAAGCTTTCTGAGGGCACCAAAATCACAATTTTTTTTATTTATTTATTTTTTTTTTTTTTGCAACTACTTCTGGGAGCAGCAGGTGCATATCACACATGTGCTTCGATAACACAATATCGACAAATCTGATTGGCTTACAATAAAAAGTATAATGTATGTAACAAGCAGCTTCATTGGAAGAACCATGACACAGCAAAAATGGTGATGATTTTTTTTTTTTATTTGACTCAGAAGTCACAAGTGGGCTTATATGGTATGTGGGCTTAATAGGGACGTGTATCCTAATGTTAAGCTTCTCTGGGATAATCTAGTATAAGTATCATTGTTTATGATCTGGACCTGGTCCACATGTGAAAAAAGCAGTGAAATCTCCCTTTTTCTTGCATTTCCACAAACAGAATAAAGGTTTCACAAATTTGAAAGTGGGTTTCAGACAGCACTGAGTCTTCACCTGAAAAGTCTAACATGCTTTCACAACAGTAAGATGTGCAAAAAGTGGAGGATCAGTTGCTCAGCAATGTAAAGCCCTTTTTAGATAGGAGTTGTGCAAATTGCAGGAAAGCCCAATCAGTCTTTTTTCAGCATTGGCAGTATAAAAACAAAATCGGGGAGTGCAGCAAAATGACGCCTACCTACTTTTGTTTATACAGAATGTGCCTTTTTCGGGGCAATGGGGGGCTTGAGCAAGTAACACAACATGTAGCTCAGCGTGTGATGTAAACAGTGACGTGAGGGAAGCTGCGGCTGGTCAGCCCTTGAGCGATTCTCTCGTAAGTCGGCCCGTCCTTCACCATCCCCGTCATCTGACGGTTAATGGCCTCTTCGTTTGCGACGACAAGGAGGGCGTGCAAATCCTTGTCTCCCCAGTTGCTCATCTTTACAGTGTCTGTCAGGTCTGGTTTCTCTCTTGCTACTAGCTGCTCGCTGATTGCTGCTATCAGCTGTTTCCTGTTTATCCACTGCCAGTGGCTCGCATGTGCGGCGTCATCAACAGCTCCTCCCACAAGTCATCAACAGCCCCTCCCAGTGCGAAAGGCCGCCTCGGTCTGTTTAAACTAAAAGGATTCCGCCAATATGACTATTCTACGAGGCGGATACTTGGGCACCTCGGATCAACTCGCCAGTCTGGCTCTGTGTGTCTAAATGCTGGCAGCTTGCCGGCAAAACGGCCCAACCTTTGCGGAAAATCTGGCAGTGTAAAAGGGGCTTAAGTTACTTATCCCTTAACTCACCCCTTATCTGCTGAATCGGAAGCTGCGAATCGGATTCTAACTTCAGCATCATTGTGCCCCGATTGTAAGTCTCTTACAGCTAATAGGTTTTCCATGCTTCTCTATGTGCTCAAGTTAATACTTGAATAATTGTCCAAAGAGTTTTTGGTTTAACAGCAGACATTGGAAAGACAGGAGTAAAATTAGGAACACTCATGTATGGAAGGTGAATTATCTCTCTCATTGAAATAGTATCATTACTGCTATTGTAGGCTCACAAGTACCTCTCAAGAACCTACACATCTCGCCCTTCACTGAATGTAAGTTACCTTACAGTAACTGAAATTTCAAATTCTTATGACACTCAAATATTTGGACTGTACGCTGTAATGCAGACTTTCAATGCTTGGTTCTAGGAGGTTGTCATTGTCAGCGCAGTCCGTACTCCAATGGGCTCCTTCAGAGGCAGCCTGGCATCAATACCAGCCACCAGACTGGGTTCCATTGCCATTAAAGGAGCCATAGACAAAGCAGGTATGTTGAGATGGGTCACTTTCCTCAGTGAGAACTGTTTTCCACCATTTAGGCAGAGATGTAACGTTAGCTGATTATCGTCATCTCTAGGTGTGTGTGCAAGCACGGCTATGCTAATGTAACACATTACCTAAATTTCACATGATTAGGTGGATTGCTAAATCAAAAAGAAAAAAGCTGGTGTATATTTGGAGAGTTGACTTAATGTTTCTGTGTTTAGGGATCGCTCCTGAAGAGGTGAAGGAAGTCTACATGGGCAACGTGCTTCAGGCAGGAGAAGGACAGGCCCCCACGAGACAAGCCTTGCTTGGAGCAGGTATGACTAGTGATGGTGTGATGAAGTCCCTTGAATGTGTTGAATCTTTATGGACGATTTCTTCGCCAAAAGGCTGATCACACGAAGCTCCGTTAACAGCTCATTTGAAGGTACTGACATCTGCTGGTCATTTGATGTACAGCAGTCCTACTGTAATAATACATGTGGGCTACATGCAAGTGGATCTGTACACATAATGATGCAAGTATTACATCAGAATCTATAATATATCTATGTATGTATTTATGTATGTACAGTGCTCAGCATAAATGAGTACACCCCCTTCGACAAGTAACATTTTAAACAATATCTCAATGAACACAAAAGCAATTTCCAAAATGTTGACAAGACTAAGTTTTATATAACATCTGTTGAACTTATAACATGAAAGTAAGGTTAATAATATAACTTGCAAAAATGAGTACACCCCACTGAAAGTCTCTGGAGCAAAGCTAAATTTTAGACTACAAATGTATAATTTAACAGTAATCAACCACAGGTGAGTCTAATTATTCATTACACAGGTGTCCAGCAGACAGTTGACTATAAAAGGGTGTTACTTAAAGTAAACCCCTTCCCATTTCATGTTTTTAGCAATGGCACCACATGGAAGAGGAATGTCACAAGACCTGAGAAAGCAAATAATTTCTTTACACCGCAAAGGTGAAGGCTACAAGAAGATCAGCAAAGCTTTACTTATCAGTCAGAATACTATAGCAAAAGTGATCCAGAAATTTAAAAAAGATGGAACTGCAACCATCTCACAGAGACGTCCAGGCCGTCCACGAAGTTAACTCCTCGACAGCAGCGTCTTCTGATGAGAAGGGTCGAAGAAAATCAGCATGCAAGTTCATTGCCGTTATCTAAGGAAGTAGAAAGCCAAACTGGGGTGACTCTTTCTCGTGACACAATACGGCGTACCCTGCAGTGGAATGGCATGCGTGGGTGCCGTCCACAAAGGAAGCCTCTCCTAAAGCTCAGGCACAAAAAAAGCCCGCCTAGAGTTTGCCAGGGCCCATGCTGACAAAGATGAAGACTACTGGGACTCTATACTCTGGAGTGATGAGACCAAGATAAATGTTTTTTGGAACTGATGGCTTCAAAACTGTATGGGGTCGCAAAGGTGAGGAATACAAAGAAAAATGCATAGTGCCTACAGTGAAACATGGTGGTGGCAGTGTCCTTATGTGGGGTTGTATGAGTGCTGCTGGTGTCGGGGAGCTGCATTTCATTCATGGCATATTGAATTCACAGATGTATTGCTCGATACTGAAAGAGAAGATGCTACCATCACTTCGTGCCCTTGGTCACTTGCACTTTTCCAACATGACAATGATCCTAAACACACATCTAAGGCCACTGTTGGATTTCTGAAGAAGAACAGGGTGAAAGTGATTCAGTGGCCAAGTATGTCTACTGATCTGAACCCAATTGAACACCTATGGGGAATTCTGAAGAGACAAATTGAGCATCACTCTCCATCCAGCATCCAGTCTCTAAAAGAGGTCATTCTTGAAGAATGGAAAAA